GTAACATGAGAGCATGTGTGCTGCATCATTATAACTTCTGTATGTTAGCCAGGCATGGCTGAAAGGTCAATATAACAAATATATATAAACGTATAATGTTATGAGATTTAAGCTATTTAGTCTAAACACTTATGTTTTTGTGGTATAATTTGTTGTCATTCTAGAACGAAAGAGGTATAACTTTTTATGGTGGTTACAAGATTGGTCAAATCTACCGAACTCGTACAGAGATTTGTTACTGAAAATAACAAATAAAATATAAAGTTTTTTCTTAAGAAAGGTTTGATAACTATCTGGACATTATAAAGATTTTGCATGTGAAAATTTCTGATGCATAAAAGTATTTTTAATCTTAAAATGAAAATTACTTTGTATGTTGGATAGGCAACATGCGAAAAGAAAAAAAAAAGGCACGAGAAAAACATTGCTTTACAAACCTTAAGACTTAATAAAAAAATTTATATTTTGCATATTAAAGCATTGTAATGTTTACTGATAATCTGCCAAATTTCATTAACATACGCTTACTAATTTAAAAGTTATAGCAGGAAACTATAACAGGCACAAAATGGTTACGAGGTCAGTCCCAGGGACCGAGCCCATGCTGAAAGAGTTAAGAGTTGTAAAAACTTTATCAGCAGCTTAAGTTGCTATCATCTACTCAAGCTAACTCAAAAGTGGGAGATAGACGAGAAGTGTGAAATAGAAATTTCTTGACATGAAGAACCTTTTTTTTTAGCAACCTCATCTGTTTTGACAGATAGTGGTGGCCATTACCTAAAGTATATGTGACGAAAGTGTTCAGTATTTAAGAAATATTGTAAAATTAAAAAAAGCATATAAATATTACAAAAAGAGATTGAATTTAACTTTTAATAAAACAAGACAAAGATCATATATGATGTTCAGACCCTCAAAGATTGATAAAATACTATTTTGCCAACTCAAGTCAGTCATAGTTGAAACAACTTATTCTTATAATACAGTACAATTTTTAGCTGCAACAAATGACAGTGATGTGATGTTAGTGATTAATCTACAAGTTTTGGCTTCCCAAAACATGTTTTTAGAGATACGTATAGTTGAGTAGAAATGTCAAAAATCTTAACAGTCATTATTTTACTACATATAATACACTTAGCTCAAGTACATTCTTCATATATTTACATAAATGGGGCCTACTTTAAAGTAATAATGTCAAAAATATTAGTTATTTGTAAGCATTTGTTTGTAAAATTAGAAGAATAAATATCACTGTATTAAGAAAAGTTGGTATAGTTTACATATTATTATCTTCTTATGTATAATTATACTCATGTCTGTAATGTCTGAAACATTGCAAGTAATGTTTTAATAGCTAGAAATAGTATGCAGAAAAAGAAAACCAAATTGGTAAGCCTAGAAGTCTACATATATTCAAGACAAATGTTGACATATTTTTATATGTTTTTTATATTAAAATGTATTCATTTTATTTGTGTAAAATACCCTAAAATGAACTTTCTTATTACACTAGTAAAAATGGTAAAGTTCAGAGGAGAGGCAAGGTTAATCTAATAGGCCGGTTGCAGTTGTCTACAGAAAAGAGTAAAGAAGAAGACAATGACAGTATAGTTCAGCTTAGGATATTAAGAACACAGGTAAGACTTTTCACGCTGCTTCATTGTACTGATTTTTAAGAGTATAAATACTCTTTATAAACTGTTAAACAAAATTAATTTACAACATTTTTTATTAGCAATTCAAATTAATATTAGCAGTATAGCATTTTATCTTTAAACTTGAAAATGGCAAACAGGAAGGAAGGAACTAAAATAACATTGATTTATTACAGGGAAATTATACTTGAAAAATATTTATATTCTAGAGAACCAAGTACCCTTTGTAATAATTTATAGATTATAACTTTATTGCTCAAAAGTACTTTAAAGGATTTGTTTTACAATAATTTTGATATTGTAACTTTTCAGTTTTTCAAAATATTTTATTCTGAGTATTTAATTTTTAACCCACCCACCCCTGTAAAATATACACACATTGATTCTGAGACAAATATGCACCAATAAGGGAATTCCAACATTGCTAAAAATTAAAAATATATATAATTTTTCAAAGTTGTAATGTGACAGTCTCTGGACTGCCACTTTTTTAGAAATTATTTAAATCCTCATTTTTTATAATTGTTAAATAACTTCTTATCTTGAAGAAGTAAACAAAATTTAAAATGTTTAATTATAAAATAAGTAGATAACCTTTTAAACCAAAATATTATTAAGAAACTTTAGTAGTTATACTTACTATAAATAGGATTATTTACTTTGCCATTAGTCTCAGTCAAGTTGTTAAACGTTATACTGTTCACAGACGTATTCACTTTGTCATTAGTCTCAGTCCAGAATAAACTTCATACTATTTCAAGAATTGGTTGGTTTGTCAAACATTAGTCTATTAGTTAATTATTTTACATCATTTTACTGTTGATAAACTCTGTCATTTTCCAACAGTCACAATTAATTAGGATCAACTTTGTACCTTTACTCACTTTGCCTTTGGTTTCAGTTGAGTTCTTAAACATTCTACTGTTTACTATTGACAGACTTATTCACTTTGCCATTAGTCTCTGTCCAGTTGTTAAATGTTGTAGTCTTTACTATTGACAGACGTATTCACTTTGCCATTAGTCTCTGTCCAGTTGTTAAATGTTGTAGTCTTTACTGTTGACAGATTTATTTACTTTGTTATTAGAATAAACTTCATACTATTTACAGGATTAGTTGGTTTGTCAACCATTAGTCTATTAGTTAATTATTTTAAATCATCTTATTGTTGATAGACTCTGTCATTTTTCAACACTCACAATCGATTAGGAACAACTTTATTCCATAGTTTTCCAAATATAATATGCTTTTATCTTCACAAACAAAGAGTTAAATTTACCATAAATAATACTCACCCAGAATTTTGCATTACTGCAGTCAAAGTAACCTTTTGATAACAAGAGTGTTAGAGCACCCATATAATCTCTAATTGGAAGTTTGCCTTAGTGCCTGCTATGTTTGCAAATATGAATTCTCAAAAACCCATTTACAGCTGGTGTACATTAGTCATGGTCCTATGCAATAGCTTTGCTACAATGGGGTACGTGTAGTTTGTTCTGAAACATTTCCTCCCTGCTCGTACATAAAGATAATGATTTTGATTTTATAAGACTAATTTAAAAATACACCATGAAATCAAAGCTTAACACTAAAAAGTCACACTGGCTGTTTTTGGTCAAGTACTGACACTTAAGTCAATACTTAAAAGAGGACAGGGCCATTTTAATTTTATAAGTTTGATTTTAAAATACACCTAACAACTCATAACAAAATTTCTTTTAACTTTCTTGCTGCAAAGCGAACATCAGTTAACATACTATAACTTTTCATATGCTTTGTGTATCTTGACAAAATTTGGCAAGCTTTTAGTAAACATCACAGATCTTGTAGACAAAAAGAACAGGTTTTTTTTAAGTATTTTATCTGAGCTTCTTTATCATTTTATTTCAAAACACATCTTTAAAGATACTAAAAATTAATAAAAACAGGAGACAATTCACTTTTATGCCTTAGAAACAGAGAGAGTTAATAAGACATATCATTGAAATGCAATGTTTCTAGTAATTATACATTATTGTTCACATGTGTCAGAAAAGATGGTCTGAACTGGCTGTGAAAAAAAAAAAACATTTAAATTTGTTACTGTAGATTATATGCACCCTAACTTCTAAATAATTTTTTTGTGAAAAAAAATATGTATTATATTCAGAAAATTATGGTACTTTGTACTGTTACTGCTCTGATATTAGTTGTCAACAGTCATAGTCAGGTAGTGACAACTGCACTGATTATTGTTGACATATATGTGTGTGGGTTGCTAACAGTCACAGTCTAGTAGTTACTATTTTACACCCTGCACAAATTTATATACCAACATCCACTGACTAGTAGTCACTTCTTTGTACTGTTTACTACTGATATAACTTTATTTCATGGGAAAAACTTGTCAGCATTTGCTGCTAATTACTTCTTTCATTATGGTAAATATGTATTATTATTCATGTGTCACCAGATCAGTTTAAGTCGAGGATAACTGGTAATCTTGTTATATATTTTATCATAATCTCCAGGCAGTGGCCATACAAAATGTTAAACTCAGATAAAATTGATATTGTTTTACTACCTTTATTTAAATAATATAGCAAAAGTATATTTTCATATATATATATGATTTATTGAACCTAATATCTATTATTTTTGATGCTACAGGAAGCAATAGTGAAAATAATGAAAATGAGGAAGAAGATTACCAATGCACAATTACAGACTGAGCTTGTTGAGATTCTGAAAAACATGTTCCTACCTTCTAAAAAAATGATTAAAGAGCAGATTGAATGGCTTATTGATCACAAGTACATGAGAAGGGATGAAGAAAATATCAATGTTTTCATTTACATGGCCTAAACTTAGTTAACTGGAAAAAGAGCAGATTTATGTTATAGTGAAGTGCAGCAAAGGTCTAATCTGGAAGAAATTCCTTCTTTGGATGGAAAAGTTACAGTTTCTGCTTAGAAATTTAATATTATTTATACATTGGGCTGTAAATCCAAAGAATCTGGCATGTAAGAATACAGCGGAAACCTGCATATCTGAAACAATGATATCCACAAAGGGGAAAAAAAAAAATTGTAGAAGAAACCATTGGTTGCTGCAAATAAAGAAACAAAACTGAAATCTAGTATAAAGAAACCTTTTTTTTTACAATTTATCATTTCTTATTGGTCGTTACTGTCATATTGTTTATTATATATATATATATATATATATATA